ATGATATTATGCGTAATTTTTATTGGGAAAAATATATATTGTTCTTCCTTCAGTAATTAATGTTTGCATTTGGAAGGGTTTATATGCACATTATTTATGATCGTCATTAATATAACTGAGATAATTTTAATGAAAACGAGATGTGCAGATATAGACTCTCATTTTTAATCAAATGGCCCCACGTAAGAGCCATTTATGCACATAAAACTTTGGGCACTTCGGTAAATGAATTTGGATACTTGTTCCTTTTAATCAATGGCGGACCCACTAAGGGTCCCACGGGGTCCCGGGACCCCATGTACTTCAAAACAATTACCTATATACTAAGTATTAATTATGTATGTTTTATATATATTAAAAAACCAATAACTGTATATATACAAAAAAGAGAAGACTGTTTTACAAATAGTAATCTTGTCGAGTGGTGTAGCGCGGGCGTTTAAGAACTTATCATCACAGATTGTCGCACTCGAGGTTCAGGGATCAATTCCCCTCTTTTTGACCCTTTTATATCCAACCACCAAGTATGAATGTATGATTCTCCTTTTTTGCTTGTTTCGTTTTATTACATTAGTTTTTTTTGAACGGATTACATTAGTTTTAGTATACTTGATTCCCATTTTTGTCTTGTTTCGTTTTATTTCAATAGTTTTTTTTTAACGGATTACATTAGTTTTAGTATACTTGATTCTCATTTTTGTCTTGTTTCCTTTTATTACGTTATACGTGGCCCATGGAAACTCAATTTTACTAAAATAAATCATTTTTGAATTAGTTAATTAATTTTTAGTAAAATACAATTGACCCCATTTGAGAAGTTAACAATCATATTTATTATTATCTCCGTTCTTAAATAATTGCAACATGCTGAATTTTACAATATTCACATACTCTATTTTGACTATATTTTATTTATAATGTATTACAAATTTAATTTTTGAGAAATATTGTTAAAGTTTTCTCATTATAAATTTTAAAAATCTGAATTCTTAATTTTTTTGGAATGAATTATTAAAATTTCTTTGGATGTTAGGATTAAATTATTAAATTTATGATATTTATGAATGCTTTTTCAATACTTTACAATTTAGGATGAAAAGATATTTCGATAGTCTACCCAAATTTAAACAAATTCAGAGTACCGAGAATAGCTCATGTGTTAATTCAAATGATTCGTTATTATTAAATGAAGAATTGGATCAAACAATTGCTGAATGTGAAATTAATTTGACTAATAATTTATATGGCCAACATGTTGATTTTGAGTCTTTAGAAGCTAATTCTGGATTAAGAGAAAAACTCATTTTCATCCTATGTTCAAAACGAGGTGCGCCATAATTACCTTCAAAAATGGTTTTCAACCTCGGGATGTATGTTAACTACGAAATGTTATGTTATTATAATTAAAATGTTTACTTCTATTTCTATTAGTTTTATAAAGTATTAATTAAAGTGACATCTGAGTAGGGACCCCATGCCTCTCATTTTCTGGGTCCGCCATTGCTTTTAATTATTATTATAGATTTCACTTCAATGAGATTTACACGACAACACATAGATACATCATGTATAGAGTAATTAATTCGAAATGGACATAAACATATAAATTGATCGAATTACTAAATTAATATGCTTAATTATAGTTCTAGAGCATGTGTATTTTTAAGGAACAACATATGAGATATTATGTGTGTTTGTTTGTTTATGTCATGAAATTGAGACGGCGAACACAAACATTTACTAGTACCTCCAATACTCTCTCTCATATGTTGTTCCTATGAGAAAAGATAACACACATGCTAACGTAACTCAATTTTGTGATTGGTTATATTTTGAATTTGTAAAAGTAAAAGTGATTGTGTGTCACTTAATAAGACTTTAATATGGAAAGAGACAATTTCGAGATGACCAGAAATGTTAATGTTAATTAGAAGTTAAGCCCAATCAGTAAAAACTATCAAATGCAAAAAGTTAATTAGCGAAGGGAAATAATAGACATTTTTACTCATAAAGACACATAATGTTTTGTTCCCATACAATTACACGCAATATAGAAAACTTAAAAAAACTTAGTATGGCAAAATGACATGATTAAAGGAAAAACATAAAATAAAAACTCCATTAGTCGTACTTTGGGAAAGACACACCCTTTTAGTCACACGGTTCGTAATTTTCTCTAAAAGATTTGAAAATTTCAAAATAGGACTAATATGTTTTATTCCCTAAATATGAATAATTATAATCATGTTCTAAGTTTTGACGTTACCAAGTTTTGACGTTATTTTCCAAACTTGCTAAAAAATATTTATATATATGAAATAAAAACATAGCACTTCTATTTTGAAATTCATAAACGATTTTACTTTTATGTAGAGCAATTTCTTTTAAAATTAATCATGTTATACTACAGCGCACGACTTTAATATTAAGGTCTGGTCGATGAAAGGTCGTGCATGGAACAGCTTTGCAGGATTTACTATAAGGAATAGAAATCCTAATATATACTTGAGATCTTACTTTGAGGAAGCGTTTCAGCCCAGCTCACTCTCCCTTACTCAATGGTCAATGGAATGAATTTTAACCCTGATTACTCCGGGGGCCCTCCCTCAGCCCCTCTCGCCCAAACACCCTGAAGTAAAAAAAAATGTGATTTTACCTAAAAACTTTATAGGATCACCCTAGTATATATCCCAAGCATTTTTTATTTGTGGAGACATTCTATTTGCCAGGATATAGGGCTAAACCCACCATGGTCTACCCCCATAACCTTTCCCATCCACACAGATATGAAGAGCTTTGGAAGAGTCAAGCGGAGAAAGTTTTGGAGCATTAGGGAGCTTAGAAATTTTTAATAAGTACGGCGTAAACGTATACTCCGTATAAGGGAAAATTCCCGAAATAGGACTAAAACAGTTTGGAAATTCCAAATAGGACTGTCATGTTTTTTATTCCCAAAATATGAGTAATTACTGCCAAGTTTGGAAAATACTGCCATGTTTGAAGTCTGGTACTGCCAAAACATGACAGTAATTAGTCCTATTTTAGGAATAAAAACATGGAAGTCCTATTTTGGAATTTTCAAACCTTTTTAGTCTTATTTTGGGTAATATCTCTCCGTATAATATGCAAATGAACGCTCAAATATTATGTCAGTTTTTCACTTTCAATTTATATTTTTAAATATAAATAATAGTCACCTTTCAAAACCTTTCCCTCCAAAATGTTCCACCAAAGAAACCCTTATAGCACAAACGAGCAGTGCAATCAACCGTGGATGGCCAAAACTAACCATATAAGGTTGCCTACACAACCATATATTCTAAACAAATTTAAAATGACGGGTTGGCAACAAAAAAAATACCATTTCGCCATAGTGGCAGGGGCGGACCTATAATATAATCAGAGTAAGCACTGACTTCACCTCAAAATGTTCCACTAGCCTATGTAGGGATGGACCCGGGCCGGGCCGGTTCCGGTTCGGGCCTGGGCCCGGCCGGGCTTTTGTTTGGGAAGTAAGGAACTGGAACCGGCCCGGGTGACCGGCGGTTCCGGGCCGGGCCGGTTTCCGGTTCAATGTTTTTTTTTTATTTTCTTTGGTTTTTCTAAATTACCCTCGACCCCCCCTTCACCCCCACCCCCCACCCCAAAACACCCCGCCCTACCCGGTAGAAATTTAAAAAAAATTGAAAAAAAAAAAAAAACAAATTTGGCCCGAACCGGCCAGGCCGGTTCAACATTTTCAAGGCCCGAGCCTGAACCGGGAGTTGGGCGGTTCCGGTTGGCCCGAACTGGCCCTAAGACCGGGTACTGGGCCGGGCAGCCCGACCCAAGTCCACCCCTAAGCCTATGTGGTAGTAGCAAAAAATATAGGTGCGCCATTAGGCTTCAGGACTTCAGGTCACGGGTTTGAATCATCCTTAGGCTACACCCAATTTTTTTTAAACTTCTTAGGTGGCAGGTTATGGGCTATGCGAGTGGGCTTTTTATTTTTTGTTTCTTTGGTTGACTGGACCGTAAGTGATACTCTACATGAGGAATTGATAATTTTACAACCAAAATCCCTACACTGGTACACCCTACTCCCTTTATTCTTCCAATTTCCTAAACACATGCAACGTACGTACGTATCTTCTGAGCGGGTCTGCCTCTCACTTCTGGGAATGACGATTGACACTCCTTACTTCCTTACTCCTTAGACCTTAGCTCCAATGTTGCACGGAAACGTGAAAATCATGAGGAAACGGGAAATGGGAAACGTCAACTTTTGTTCAAAACAGGCTTATTTGGAGAGTTTCCAAAGAGTTTCCGAGAGTTTCCGAAACGGGAAACGTACTCTTTCCCGAGAGTTTCCGTGCTACATAGCTTAGCTCTACTTCACGTTTTTTATTTCTCTAACATTAAAGCTTTAGTAGTTACTAATTATTGTTATAATTCACTTATTGTTCAAAATTGTTATTGTTATTAACAATGAAACAATCATTCAGTTAGAGACTTATATTATTGATATGCACAGTAATGATGAATTTTCGTACTTGAAAGGGATTGCTTGCCTTGCGGAGATGTTGGTGAAGACGGGAAAACATCGTGTTTATCAGTTAGTTTACTTACTTCTGAAGTTGGCACTAACATTACCTGTTTCTACCGCCAAGGTTGAAAGAGCCTTTTCAGCGATGAAAATTGTGAAGACCAAATTGCGACATCGGATGGAAGATGATTGAATATGAATGACTGTTTAGTTTCTTATATTGAAAGTGATGTGTTTGATAGCATTGATGATGAGTTAATTATTCAACACTTTCAAAATATGCAAGCACGCAGAGGACAGCTATAAAAGGTACCTTTTTTTTAATTACTATATTTTATTTAGCCTTTTTTTTTAATTCATGTGATTTACTATTAGTGTTATATGTGTACATACACTGGGCTCCGATGCCTAGATCCGCCATTGCACAGTAGCAACTTTAACGTCACAGAGAGGGCGAACAAAGTGGCTAATTCAGGAATTGCATAACTATGGTATTTCGAATTTAATAGGAACATTAGTAAAAAAAAATGTTAATATAAACACATTTCACATCTATTTAAAAAGATCAACGGATGTGCATTTGCATTACACATACGGTATGAGTTATTTCCATCTTACAATAAAAGAAAGTAAACTTTTAAAGTGGTTATAGTTATAATAGCATAACCACTCAAGCAAAAGAAACCAATTATCCCGAGAAACATATTCACAAACATATTGAGAATTTGAGATGAAAGAATGGATTCACTTGAGATCAACCTGTAATTTGATTGACATGTCCAAGAGGGCAAGAATGGCACCTTGAGGGAGTGGAGCATACCTTGCCAGATTTGAGCCAACCCACATGGCTACACCGACTACAACAATCAGGTTGCTGCTGCATTTTCCCCAAAGCCAGCTGGCAAATGAAAGGCACAAGCTAAGTAAAATGCCACTTCTGCCTCCTAATACCCAAGCAAGCATGTAACCTGTTTTGTATCCAGCATCCAACTTTTGGTCAAACAAGGCCACAAGGCTACTAAATGTCAAAGATAGCCGAATGCCTGCTGTGTACATTAGGAAGAGAGAGAGAGAGAGAGAAAGGATGATTTAAGCATTTCATGAAAGGGGGGTCTTTCTTTGTCATGAGTTTTATCATCTGACCCCTCAACTGTTTCAAAATTAAATGAAGAATCCCCTTTCTGGTGATGTTGTTCCCTATATGTTTCCTTTGGTCTTGAATCAGCCCCTCTATAGCTCTTCTGCCCATCATCATATCCGAAGATGTTACCTTGCCATAGGAGTGCTAAATCGTATTGGGCTCTAGTTGTTTCATCTGACAATGTCTGGAAAAGATCATCAGACAAACTATTATGTCATTTATTTCAACAGCATCGGTTTTTTACTTTCGTGAATTATTTCCTAAACATACATCTCCGCACAAGGCAAATCAATATTTATCCTAAATCATTATGGTATGGCATTTTATAGTGCACACTCCAGATACACTGCAGGAGAGGCATTCTCATATCTCACAAAATAAAGAGAATCAAACCAGCGACATGTTTTAAAATAACTGCCAAATTAGCATCACTCTCACAAATAAGAATGTCCTTGCTTACTTTACATCATCACCTTAATCTCAACTATGTTGAAGTAGGCAGCATGAAATTTATAGCATAAATTAATTTTTTAGAAATAGTTAACAATACATAAAGGGACCTTGGTGCACCCATTAAGGTGTTACTATGTGACCAGGAGGTTATGGGTTCAAGTCTTGAGAGCGGTCTCTTGTTTTAAAAAATGACAGGGGAATGTTTGCCACTTAGACACCTATGTGGTCAGACTCTTCCCCAGACCCTTGCCTTGTAGGGATGCCTTCATGCAACGGGCTGCCTTTTTTAGTTTACAATCCAAACTAGTGTAGAAAAGCATAGTGGCAAAGTTCTAATCTAGATTCCCTTCTAATCACAACCTTCTCACGAATGAAATAAAAAAGAAATCAAACTCCAAAAGTATTGTGACAATTTTTCTTTCACTTGCATGGAAAATACCATCAAATAATGAATTGAAAGTGTCCACAGCCATGTCCCATAACACGATTGATATTGTAAATTCAACAAACACATTATGGAACGTAACCACTGATCGTCTTTAGTCACAGTAGGAGCTTTTGTGCAGTTAAACAGGATGAGCTGGCATGTTTGTCATGTCTGGGAATGTTAGGGAGTGGGAGGCAGATGGGCCGAGGCTCTAGGAGGCAAACGGGCCAATGCTTTAGGAGGACGGGCCTCGCCCATTATTAGTTTATGGGTTGCTGTCAGTGGACCTAATTGGGCTGGGTTGACTGCTGGGTTTCATTACTTTATTTCAGTCTATTGTTATGTCTAATAAACTGTTGGGCCTATATGGTCATATTTTATTATTAGGTTAATGGGCCTAGATGGCCATATTTTATTATTAGGTTAAGGAGTATTTAAGGAGGTCTTGTGAACTATTATTGATGATCGAGAATAAAGATTTGGTTTGAGCCTAAGGCTGGGCAGTCGTTAACACCGTCTGCTAGGGTTTCTTTTTCTGCTTCTATCAATTTGGTCCGACCTGTCGGATCCTATCCACCGCCCTACGTTCATCATGACTCGTTCCACCATTGATCAACGCATAGATGCGATAGAAGCAGACCAGAAGGACATCAGGGCAGAATTGCAATCCACCAACGCCAAGTTGGATGCTATCACGCAAACCCTAGACAAACTGGCGCAGAAGGTTATGGCGTCGGGGGGAACGCTGGCTGATTCTGAGTCAGGAGGAGGAGGAGGCACGGCTGACTCGCAGAACTCCCACAACCCTAGGTCTGTGACCGCACCTCTGACGCTACCGGCGTTTGAGGGGGCAGATCCGATTGGATGGCTTGCCAGGGCCAATCAGCAATTTGAAATACATCAGACCCGACCTGAGTTGAAGGTGGCGTCAGCCATGGTAGCAATGGAGGGTCCTGCTTTGTACTGGTTTTCTTGGACACGGTCGCGGAAACCAGGCATAGCTTGGGAGGAGTTTTCACAAGCCCTTGTAGCCCGTTTTGATACTCGGTTCAAAGGGAGCACGTTCGAACGGTTGGCTGACGTTAAGCAGACAGGATCCATGGATGACTATGTAAATTTGTTCGTGCAATTAGCCCGTCAGGTCCCAGGTTTGAGTGATGCCCACTACTTGGGGTACTTTATGAAAGGGCTACGGGACACCATTCGCAGTTCCTTACGGACCCTACGCCCAATTGATTTGGAAGCTGCTATGGAGTTAGCAAGAGATATCGAAGAAGACTTGGCCGTACAGTCCGGAGGGAGATCAGAATGGGGATACGACAATCAGCAGTGCCGTTCCAGTAATTACACCAAAGTTGGCGGGTTTTCGGGGCTCTCTTCCACGCCAGTTACTGGAAACCAAGGGGCAGCAGGAAGCACAACTTCCTCGCGATCTCCCGGTAGTACCTCGGGGTCCGGGTCAGCCATGACTGGCCAGTCGGAGAATCGCTCTCGGTTCACACGCCTCTCACCGCAGGAATTTGCAGACCTACGTGCAAAAGGGCTTTGTTTCCGTTGCAAGAAGCCCTATACCCCCAGGCATGAATGTCCCCTAAAACAGTTAAGAGTAATGGTTGTCGAGGAAGATGAGGAATTCGACCTCAATCAAACTGAATCTTTTATCCCGCCCGAAGAGGTTAAGCAGCTAGGGGAACAGAAGGAGAAACAAGCAGCAGCTTCTTCACTCCAACCTTGGGGACAAGGTTGTTTTGGAGGGGGATGAAATTGTTAGGGAGTGGGAGGCAGATGGGCCGAGGCTCTAGGAGGCAAACGGGCCAATGCTTTAGGAGGACGGGCCTCGCCCATTATTAGTTTATGGGTTGCTGTCAGTGGACCTAATTGGGCTGGGTTGACTGCTGGGTTTCATTACTTTATTTCAGTCTATTGTTATGTCTAATAAACTGTTGGGCCTATATGGTCATATTTTATTATTAGGTTAATGGGCCTAGATGGCCATATTTTATTATTAGGTTAAGGAGTATTTAAGGAGGTCTTGTGAACTATTATTGATGATCGAGAATAAAGATTTGGTTTGAGCCTAAGGCTGGGCAGTCGTTAACACCGTCTGCTAGGGTTTCTTTTTCTGCTTCTATCAATTTGGTCCGACCTGTCGGATCCTATCCACCGCCCTACGTTCATCATGACTCGTTCCACCATTGATCAACGCATAGATGCGATAGAAGCAGACCAGAAGGACATCAGGGCAGAATTGCAATCCACCAACGCCAAGTTGGATGCTATCACGCAAACCCTAGACAAACTGGCGCAGAAGGTTATGGCGTCGGGGGGAACGCTGGCTGATTCTGAGTCAGGAGGAGGAGGAGGCACGGCTGACTCGCAGAACTCCCACAACCCTAGGTCTGTGACCGCACCTCTGACGCTACCGGCGTTTGAGGGGGCAGATCCGATTGGATGGCTTGCCAGGGCCAATCAGCAATTTGAAATACATCAGACCCGACCTGAGTTGAAGGTGGCGTCAGCCATGGTAGCAATGGAGGGTCCTGCTTTGTACTGGTTTTCTTGGACACGGTCGCGGAAACCAGGCATAGCTTGGGAGGAGTTTTCACAAGCCCTTGTAGCCCGTTTTGATACTCGGTTCAAAGGGAGCACGTTCGAACGGTTGGCTGACGTTAAGCAGACAGGATCCATGGATGACTATGTAAATTTGTTCGTGCAATTAGCCCGTCAGGTCCCAGGTTTGAGTGATGCCCACTACTTGGGGTACTTTATGAAAGGGCTACGGGACACCATTCGCAGTTCCTTACGGACCCTACGCCCAATTGATTTGGAAGCTGCTATGGAGTTAGCAAGAGATATCGAAGAAGACTTGGCCGTACAGTCCGGAGGGAGATCAGAATGGGGATACGACAATCAGCAGTGCCGTTCCAGTAATTACACCAAAGTTGGCGGGTTTTCGGGGCTCTCTTCCACGCCAGTTACTGGAAACCAAGGGGCAGCAGGAAGCACAACTTCCTCGCGATCTCCCGGTAGTACCTCGGGGTCCGGGTCAGCCATGACTGGCCAGTCGGAGAATCGCTCTCGGTTCACACGCCTCTCACCGCAGGAATTTGCAGACCTACGTGCAAAAGGGCTTTGTTTCCGTTGCAAGAAGCCCTATACCCCCAGGCATGAATGTCCCCTAAAACAGTTAAGAGTAATGGTTGTCGAGGAAGATGAGGAATTCGACCTCAATCAAACTGAATCTTTTATCCCGCCCGAAGAGGTTAAGCAGCTAGGGGAACAGAAGGAGAAACAAGCAGCAGCTTCTTCACTCCAACCTTGGGGACAAGGTTGTTTTGGAGGGGGATGAAATTGTTAGGGAGTGGGAGGCAGATGGGCCGAGGCTCTAGGAGGCAAACGGGCCAATGCTTTAGGAGGACGGGCCTCGCCCATTATTAGTTTATGGGTTGCTGTCAGTGGACCTAATTGGGCTGGGTTGACTGCTGGGTTTCATTACTTTATTTCAGTCTATTGTTATGTCTAATAAACTGTTGGGCCTATATGGTCATATTTTATTATTAGGTTAATGGGCCTAGATGGCCATATTTTATTATTAGGTTAAGGAGTATTTAAGGAGGTCTTGTGAACTATTATTGATGATCGAGAATAAAGATTTGGTTTGAGCCTAAGGCTGGGCAGTCGTTAACACCGTCTGCTAGGGTTTCTTTTTCTGCTTCTATCAGGGAAAGAAAATAGAAAACAGAGAGACTCCTTAAAAAGTCTACGTTTAAACTCTTCACAAAGTTACTATGAACAGCCATATAACTGAATACCTCTTCAGTGCCATATAACTGAGTACTAAGGTCATAGACTAGAGCCCAGGATCAGACCCGGTTGATGTATTGTTTTGTTGAAAAAGAATAATGCATTGTTATTCAAAACTAAATCCCATAGTAATACCATTTTGATCCCAAATACTGTTATAGTAGCACAACTTTATCTTGAGTATGAATATTAAAATAAGTGTTGGCTAGCAATCAATTATGATGAGAAACTTTGTGACTACTTTTTACACCATATGTCCCAAAAGAGAGTCTCCATTTTAGTTTACGGTGCTTATTTGATGACAAAAATAATTCTAAATAGATTGTTAAAGTACTATGAATACTTGAAATTAGCATACTAAGAATTTACACTAAAGTGATTGAATCGAACAACTGAAATGGGATACTACAAAAAGTCTAATTTGGATATGTATATGATTGACAATGATTTCCGACATGGCTCTAGTCAAGTACCTTATGATGTAACTTTGACATGGATTCATAAATCCTTGACAAAATCAGTGCCAAACTCTTTGTGCATGACTAAGCAATTGGCATGAAGTTATATTACAAATTTGCGTCAATCCGTGATAAATCCTCGTTAAACCCGTTATTTTTTGTATTGGATTATAGTTCGATATATAAACTCAGATATTAAAATGGGGTTGTGTGGAATAAGGAAATGATGGATCTGGATTGAACTTCATTTTGAGATAGGTGTAGTATTATATTTCAAATTAGTTAATTTCTTGCACATGAAGGGTTCGACACAGTCTTAGTTCTAGACCAGAACTTAGACCATTAGTTTTTAGAGATTAGAGAACATAACTAGAATTCTAATTTGGAACCGAATTGGTGTATTGAGAATGCGGATTCAGTAAGATCAGACATGAGGCGATAAGTTTTAATCCTGATTATATTTTCTCTTAAACATCTTAAAGTTCCTATTTAGAATCATCAAATGCATGAGAATTCGTCTAGGAGGGTAAAGTGATCGACCCAAATTCGTAACTGTTTAACTCGATTTTAGTTAAAATTATTCAATCTGGGCACATGACCTAGCAAGACCAGAATTGGATCGGACCCGACCAAAGTCCAACCGTGCTCCCGCTTAAAAATTACATCAAAGAGCAAAATAACAACTTAAGTTATTACTTTTTTAAAAAAAGTATAAGAACAACAAAAATAAGACTTTCTCACATCATATGCAAGACGAATGTTCTTGAAGTCCTGATCAGCAGCAGGGTCCATGTTAACATCAGGATGATACTGCAGCCATGGTGGCATAGAAATAATGTGTTTAAGTAGACAATCAACAAATGATCTAATCTACAGGAAGTACTTATATTATAAAGGAGAATTGCAAATCTATACGTGAATAGTGTAAAAACAGGAAGAAGACCACAGAAACATTCAAATATCTCAACTCATGTTAGCCTTTTCACAATCTAGTTTGGGTTGTATACACATTTTATATTAATTGAAATAATTCTAGAACAGAGCAGAGTATATGAGGCCTTGCACATTTTCCTAGGGATTCAAAAGCAAGGATTGAGTTTCAATAAAAAATATTTAATGAGTGGTGTATCCAGATATTCTTCTCAAATGGACAGCATACTCAGATACAATATTATATACGAATAACTAAAAATACAAAAAAAAATAATCATACATACTTAAAAATATACTATAACCAAAAAAATAGGGGAAGGGGGATGCATCAAGCATGTATACATTTGTCTATACCAAAAACAAAACTACCAAATAGCATTCTTATCTGAGTATAGGAATGCTATACTCAGATAGGAATGCTATTTGGTAGTATACACCACTTTCAATGAAATTCTAAATGTATTCAAGCATAACTAGACACAGAATTGCAGGACATTTTGATATCTCATAAAGCTGTGTCACTGTGTGCATATGTATTCCTTCACATTTCAGCCCATCATCAAGGCAACAAAGATTCATTATTTTTTGGCTTGAGAATATGATGGAATAAAGCAAAACGGCTCACTAAACTGTCTGCGCTTCTTTCTTATGAAGCAGCAGTCAGTACATGCAATTTTGGACGCGATTTTCACTATGGGTCATCCGGAAACAGTCTCTCTGTGCTTTAGTACAGGAGTAAGACTGCGTACATCTGACCCCCCTTACCCCACCGTAGGTGGGAGCCTTTGCGGCACTGGGGTAAATGAAAATGAAAGCATAAACATAGAAATAATACTATCTTCCTTTTTATTTTCTTGAGGGAAAAACTGTCAAATAGGTCCTCGAATTTTCATAAAAAGGTCAAATAAGTCTTTATATAGGAGGCTCTGTCCGACAGTCGCGATTTGGAGCGGTTCTCAGTGAAATTTTTGATGAAATTTTTTGATCATCTTATTAATCAAGTCTAGTTTGCTCATACCAAATTTCAGCTAAAACTTCAATCGGGAAGGCATTCAAATTAATTCTTGAAGATAACTATGCATTTAAATGCGCAGTTATCTTCAAGAATTAACTTGAATGCGTTCCCGATTAAAGTGTTAGCTAAAATTTGGTATGAGTAAACTAGACTTGATGAATAAGATGCTAAAAAAATTTTAACCGCTCCAAATCGCGACGGCCAGACAGAACCTCTGTAAGGACTTATTTGACTTTTTTTTATGAAAGTTTGAGGATCGGTTATCCCTTTTCTTGAGCATTATTTACCATCAAATTTAAAACCAACAACGAATCACTTTATAATCGGAGTTTAATTAAGCTAAAAATTAGATACCATCCAAACAACAGGGAAAGTGATTCAAAAGGAGTTTTTGGAAGTGGGGCAGATAAAAGTAAATGTGCGCGTACCTTGAGAGCTAGAAGACGATAGGCCTTCTTAATGTCGGCCGCGGAAGTGGTGGGAGAGATGCCGAGAACCGAGTAGTGGTTCTGCTGGCTGCTAATGGAAGATCAGACGATGCAGTGACGGGAGCCCGCCGAAGGCGGGTAGCCCTGCAGCTGTTGTTAGCGGGGCAGGTCCATGGAAAAATGTGTGGGTTCCCTTTGGACCAACCAACTCCGTGAATGGTGGCAGGGTTCCATAACAGGTATGCCTGCATGCTCGGCACTATCAGCCGTGGTTACGGTGTAAATGCAGTTAAATGGTTGAATACCTTTTAAATTATATACGGAGTATTTTATAGAGTATATAAATAATTGATGTTAAATAATTAATTATTTGCGGAAATAATGCTGGAAAAAAAATATTTACCAAAATACTGCTGGGGCTTAACCGTGGTCAGGGCAAAGTCGCCCAACCGTTGGGCGACTTATAAGTCGCCAAACCGTTTGGCGACTTATAAGTCGCCCAACGGTTGGGCGACTTTGCCCTGAAATTTGGATTCAAGCTAGCAGCTACTGCCAGCCACGCACGATCGTGCCTATTTCCTTAGGCACGATCGTGCCTATTACCTAAAACACCAAATCAGCTTGTTTTTCGCCCCGGTTCAATCCAGACCGATCTGTTTGCTACAAATAAGGTCTCCTTTCTCCTTTTGAAGTGTTACAAACTAGATACAACACATGATAATCACCTACTCTCAACAACATAAAAAACACCTTATAAACACCGCTAAAAAACTTTCAAATCATAACCGGTATAACACAGTTCAATCATCATATATGCCATAACAAATAATCATGTAATATTCATACTCAAACACATCAATACAACATAGAATACTTAACAAGAGAAAATACATCAAAACTTGTAAATTGTTCCTACAACATCTATTGCATTAGAAAAACTACAATACAAAAGACAAACTACAAGTTCCCATCATCAGCTTCGTCATGGAGATGTTGCTGCTCATGTCTACGCCTACGGCGTTGTCGTGGTTGAAGAACCACTCTCTCATGTTGCGTCTGGGATGATGAAGCCGCGGCTGCAGTAGACGTGGATGCCATCTCCTGAGATGCGGGCATGTGTATAAGATGTCCGTAGTCTACTCGACCCAACACATCTGAGCATAACGAGGCAATGCCTGTCAGAGTCTGTCCATACATGTCCACATCAGGAATATCAGTCACAGTGGCAGTAGCCCGCTGATGTATGCGCTGCAAAGCTCGGGTCTGCAATACGAAACACAACTACAATTACATTCAAAAACATACAAGTATTACATAAATAAAATGACTTACTTTACTAATTAGTAATATACTCACCGTAAGATGCAATGTCAATGAGCTAGGCTGATAATGATGAGTAGGGAGTCTGAACGAAGGAGACACAAACAACCGAGTGATGCTGTAGTACCATCCCATGTAATCTCCTGAAACTGATGGGACATATGTGGGTGTCCCAGCCACGGCTAGCTCAGCTCTCCTATCCCACATAGTCACGTATCGGACATGTCTGAGTGCCCAATCCTCTGTATGCTTCCCACGCCTATCCAGCTTATGCAGCTCTACATAAGTGTCGATAGGACGGGGAATGACCTGCTCAAACCCAAACTGTCGCATGACTCTATCAGGCAAATGAAGCTCAACAATGTCAAAACATATCAGCGGCAAACGTGCTCGCCATATGTGAGTCTGCTCTCGTCCAGCTGGGGGCAACTCTGCTAACATATCAGGTCTATACGGCATCCATGTGATCTGTTTCGTAAACATACAAAATTAGTATTTATTCTACACCTATTCTAGTTACTGTTATACTACACACACCATACCTGGTCCTCAGACATCCGATCCAATGCATCCCTGTACACACCGAGGCCAGTAGCGGATGACATGCGAGATAAACCAGCATATAGCCACCTAACCATTAACGTTACAATATCAATAATATGGATTTTATTAATGCATTTACATTCAACAAAAACTAACACAAATATAAACGATTGAAAACATACCGACGGCCTAGAGGGTCCACGCCCCGTACATGATGTGGTCCTAGCAGACGTGGAGGCTCATCAGGCAGTGGCTGTCCATCAATGCCATGATATCCAACTATAATGGGACGGCCAATGTGGATATACTCCCATGACCAAATCTGGAGGAGTAGCAAAAATCCCCCCAGCTCTGTGCTCCCTCTCTGGCACCCGCGACACAGCTGCCTGTAGAGATAAGCCAGGGTGGCACTACCCCAGCTAAACTGTGCTGCTACATCAAACCTCTCCAACAAAGGCAGGTGTAGCACCTGAACCTCATTTCCGCTCTTGTCAGCGAAAATGGAGGCTCCCATCATCATCAATATATACGCCCGAGCATGCTGCTGGATGATCATCTCATCAGCGTCGGGAGGAAGGGCCTGGAAGTGCTCCCTCAACCATGGCATCCTAAGAGATGACCCCTGAAGGTCAGCCCTAAGAACGGGGCGGATGCCTAACAACCTCTCACACTCATCCACCCACTGTCGACAAGCAGTGCCTGTAACAGCTCTCCCATCAACCTCTAACCCAGTCAGTACAGCCACATCTCCCAATGTCACAGTGACCTCACCAACAGGGAGGTGAAATGAATGTGTCTCCTGCCTCCAACGCTCAAGTAGAGCAGTGAGGAGGGCTCTATCTAAAGGCACAGTAGCCACTAACCTGTGCAGTGTAAAAAAACCTGCTGCACGAACATATGCTAGGACTCTGGGGTCGACATGTAAATGGGACAAACCCCGCAGATGCTCGCGGCACCTATCAACCTGCACATCCATGCCAAGCCAAACATCCTCACTCCTGTGTGAGGCCTGCAGTGTCAGGACAGAAGGATCATTCGGCCCAGGATCCGCTATCACCTCCATGCCTACAAACAAAATTTGTATTAGTTCTAATTGTATTAGTTGTAATTGTATAATGTATTACATTTTTTTTAACTTCCTTTTTTGAATTTATTAATTTTCCTTGCAAGGAAATAATGAATTATGATTGACTCTAAATATACACATACCCGGCGGACCCCCCCTCTTGTCTAGATGATCTCTTTGCACATGTCGCTCTATTATGGCCGGTTTGGTGGCATCTTCCACATCTAACCGTTCCTCGTGGGCCTTCATCCATCTCATTCTTAATACGGGTCGACTTTGGTCTTCCCTTTGCCCGAAGCATGGATGGATCGTGCACGATTTCGGGTCCATTGTAATTTGGCCAATAATCACGATCTGGAATCGGTTTGAACACCCTATGATACGTGGCGGCGTATTGGTCAGAAGAGAAGAACTTATCCACAAATGGAGCATAAGACAAACTACGTTGTCTACACACGGCTAATACATGGGAGCAAGGAATCTTGTATATCTCCATCTTTTTGCAAGTGCACGTTTTCCGTTGTAGATGGACAGTTTGTTTTCTCCCACCCTTTCCCAACGTTCTGCCACCACAACCTGTCTCCACCTGAAATATACCTCGCCCTAAATCAAAAGGAGTGACAATGTGATGCTTTGCCTTCTCTCTATTTTTTTCAATTAAATCTGTGATGTATGGGGAGTACTCGTGGCCTTGTGTGAGCCTCAACTTACTAGTTTCACGCCTATTCACAAAGTACGCATTAACCCGGTAAAAAGACACCTGGACCAAGGCGGTAATGGGCAAATATCTAGCATTTTTCATGACGCTATTGAAAACCTCAGCCAGATTTGAAGTGATGGTACCGTATCTGTACCCGCCATCATGGTGCAGCGACCACATTTCTGCTGGAATGTTGGCCAAAAATTGTCGTGCATCCCTACTCATTTCACCTATCTTCTTGAACCCACCATCAAATTTTTTTTTCTGATGTTGCCGTGCGGTCCACACAAATAGATTTTTTAAATGAATGTCTTTGAAATGAGTGTGCACATTTGAAGCAAGATGACGGATGCATAGCCTATGATGCGCATAAGGCTCCTCCCAATTACTTCCAACCTCATTCATTGCCCTAACAATACCTCCATGTCTATCTGAAATGACACACAACTCCCTGTTAGTCACAAAATGCCTAATACATGCCATAAACCATGGCCAACTGTCTCCATTCTCGGATTCAACAACTGCAAAGGCGACTGGGAAAATTTGGTTGTTCGCATCACAACCCATGGCCACGAGCAATGTGCCCTTGTACTTTCCATACATGTGTGTGCCATCAATAGTAAGTACGGGTCGACAATGCTTAAAACCAGATATTGATGCCTTGAATGCCCAAAAAACTCTTTGAAACATCATATAACCTGTCGCACCATTGGGGGGTGGGTACCACTGAACAACAGTTCCTGGATTAGAATGTTGGAGCGCTGTCATGAAACGGGGCAATTCGAAATATGACTTTTCCCAACCGCCAAATATTTGTGCTATGGCCTTTTGCTTCCCCATCCATGTTCTCCGGTAAGATACCGTATACCCATATTTTTCCTTCAACATCTCGATGATAGTATGCACTTTAAGAGAAGGATCAGTGCGAATAATGTCAACCACATCTTTACAGATGAATTCTGATGTCAAGGCCACGTGATCTGTAGTGTCGATGTTGCCTACACAAGAAGCAGAATGAGGTCCAGAATAACGCACAATTGTGAAGGTGTCAAGGTTGCCTTTGTTCTTTGTGGCACGTATTCTCCAGGGGCATTGACATTCTTTCTTCCTTTTGCATTGTGCCACCCATTTGTGTTTGTCGGATTCTATCACCCGATAGAATTGGTTCCGTTTGATAGAATACAAGCTCACCATATTGATGACTTGTTCTTTGTTGTCAAACTGTTGACCGACCTCAAACTCACCATCGGGGGTAAACCTTTTCTCACCTGATCCACTCATCCACGCATCAGTAAAACCTTCAGGGAGATCATACATTCTAGTGAAGTGGCTAGACGGGGCAGTTGATGTCACAGTATCACCATCATCTTCATCAGATTCTGTCATGTCGTCACCATTGATGTTCTCGTCTGCATCATCATCACTTCCCTGCCCATCCACAAATGACGCACCGTTGTGCAAATACCTGCCATCCTCCTGTATAACCATGTCTAGTACAGGAACATTTGACGACTTCCGTGCATTCACCCCTGCAATGACATCATGCCTGGATACAACAGCATGTGATGTTGATTGAGTACCATAAGTGTCAGAAGATTCTTCAATGTATATCTCCAGCGTTGACATATCCTCCATCTGAATTATGCCCCACATATTTGTTATAGCTAGCTCATCAATGAGCGGCATAAGCATGTACTTTCCCCCGTTCATGGGAAATTTCATTTTCAACCGCAATGAACGGCCGGGATGAATCATTGTGGCTGCATGTATTTTTTGAAGGATCTCGAGCATGCAAGCGCCACGAGAAACCATGACAAAGCTCGTTCTGCCACCTTCATGGCATATTTGCCCACCATTCTCATAATAGTTCCCTCCCCAATGACACACGAGTGGGAAGCTTGAGAAATCCATATTCTAATAACAACTCATTGTCCAACATTCATGAGTACGCATCAATATACACACTTTATACACATTCACATTTTTAATAGAAATTGCTTCCAAAATTGTAATATATCATTAACTCCAAATTCACAAACAATTCACATTTCAATAACAAACTACCCAAATTTTGATATCTACATTCAATGTCTACCTTTGAATACCAAAATTTAGGTACATTCAACTATACCCAAATGCCCAAATGTCAAAATACACATTACAATTTACAAACAATTTAAAATCAAATTTCAACATTTCATACATATCCACATTTCACAACAACTTCATTCACAATCAATTCATAATCCCAAAATTAAAAAAAATTAACATTCTAAACCCTAAGTGCAAAATTATATGAAATGGATTTGGATTTACCTAGAATAAGGAGTAAAGAGTGTTGAAGATGAAGATGGAGGGTTGCCGGAGTGGGGTCGCCGGAGATGGAGGAGCGCCGGAGTTGGAGATGGAGGTTCGTCGGTCGTCTTCTTCGTCCGTCGCAGCAGCTCAGTTCAATTGGGGCTAATTGTATATCTGCGTTCTGTTTGAGGCCGCCCCTGTTTTTACTTAAGGGGTAAGTCGCCCAACGGTTGGGCGACTTATAAGTCGCCAAATCATTTGGCGACTTATAAGTCGCCCAACCGTTGGGCGACTTACCCCGACCATGGTTAACCCAGCAGTATTTTGGTAAATACTTTTAACCCAACCCTATTTTCGTAATTAATTAATTAATTAACATTATTACGGAAAAAAACTCCATTTAACTCAAATAAATTTTTGTTGATTGTGAATAGTAATTTAGTTGATTTACTAAATTATGTGTCTCTTATTTCAAATTTTGTATTTTACAGAAATTGTTGTATTTTCCATGCTTGTCATGTATTATCAATACTATATCCCTATACAATTTATGTTTTTATTTTGATATAAAAAAATATTTATGTTTGTCATATTAATTTTGATATATACGAATTTTATATTTTTATTTTTGTCAATGTTGATCAGGTTTATTAACCGTTGACCGGGCTGATCCTCCATGACCCGGGCATTTCTCCGGGTCGCCTTCCGGTCCGGTTTTGACAACATATATTAATAAACATACTTCAAATTATATACAATATTTCAAAATAACGAATGAATGTTTCACAAATTATGAATATGGAATGAAATCAATATTACAAAATACAAAACATTCCAAATATACATATTGCTCTCTAAATGGAATGGCTATACTATTTGTAGTTTATTTGGCAATTGATGCTCCATAATAGAGTAATAATCCGGTCAGGATATCCTGACCGGAATTGTCGTTCGACCGCTACAATTTGAGAAAGTTCCACAGTGTTTTTTTCGTGATGAAATTTTATAAGCATATTGTATATGAAGTTTAGATTATATCCACACACTTTCAACTTAGAACTCGATCAGGAAGTCAATTAAAAAAGTTATTGAAAAACACTGCGCCAAGATATTTATTTGTTCATAAAATGCACTATTTTCATTAATTTGTTTAATTGACATCTCAATCGAATTTTTAAGTGAAATTTTGTGCACATAATCTAATGAAGAATATATTCAAAAAAATTATCAACTAAACCACCAAAAACATCCTCAAACTGCGGCGGCTAGACGGCGGTTCTCCTCCAGAATTCTGGTGGTGAAC